TTAGATCATTTCTGTATATATATGAAAATATAATTCAATACAATCCAAAATCATCTCGTAAGTATGTCATCCTAACATCATATCTGATATTAGGATTATATGACTCGATGAGGGGACGTTTCCCTGGATCAGAAACAAGATCGTCTACATTAAATTGAGCCCGAGACTTCTATGTGTTATTTAACAATTCACGTGCTCAACTAGAAGCATTGGCGGGACTAGATGAACAACTAGAAGTAGAAGAACTAAGTATAGACTTCCGTTTTGGTTGAAAAAATCTTTCCATAATCTGCAAAAATCGTTTCAATTAAAGCGGTATCAATCAAATAAGTAATAACTAGTTAAAACTTAAAATCACTCCAACCTTTAAAAAAAAAAATTATTGATATAACTTTCTCAACATCCTCTCTCCTAATGTGGGGGTAGGGGTAGGGGTGGGGGTGGGAGTGGGAATGAAAGAATTTATTTGCTTCCAAAATGTTATAGTTGTTTGTTCTCTTTTCTTCAAAACAAAAAAACTTGTTATTAGGAAATACTTGTTTTAGTTTGCTTAGTTACTTGAAACATAATTCTAGATCATTGTCCTATTGTGTTAAAAATTAAAAGGCACCTAGAACCATCCCAATTTTTTTAGGATAGTACGTATATGAATTTTATTCTCCATGTTAAACTTTCACAATTCTCGGTCGACACTTGCTAGGTCAAATTATTTTTCCAACTCAGTGCATTGCAATCGGTAAAAATTGCCCCAGCTTGCTCATTTTTTTCTTCAAGTCTTTCCAAAATTAATTTTTCCACAATTTTCTAAGCTTTATTGTCAAAATGTTAAGTTCTTCCTTTATTTATGGAAACAATACATAATTCCTAGTTTTAAAGATCACATTTCATAAATAACAAACTCATTAAAATATTTCAAAAATCAGGTTGTAAATAAATTTATTAAATATTAAAATACAATATAATATACATTAATTATTTCTACCAATGTCACATCACCTTCCCCATCCTATAACTCCACTACACGACCTTCCCTCTACCTCTCCATCGAAGACAGCCATCGGCTCTGGCGGTCGCTCCGGCGGTTGTTTCAACGATTACTCTGGCGATTGTTCCGGCAGCCGCTCCAGCGACTTAAAATTTTCAGAAAATTAAAAATTGGAAATCATATCCCACCCCATGGATCCACCTACCACCACCCAAATTCGCTGACATGTGTCATTCATAACTAATTGTGATCAAGTTTGTATTCAATGTGACTAACTGTGATCAAATTTGTGTTCAGTATGACTGTCTGTGATTAGGTCAATCTCAAGTCACAATCGATCACAATCAACACAAAATTGGTCACAATCAGTCACAATTAACACAGAATTGGTCACAACCAGTCACAATAAACACAACAATGAATCACTACTGCCTCCTTCGACTCAAATTCATGACAATGAATTCCTAACTGATGTTTAACTAAAACTCTTCTCTGCATCACCACTACCACCTTCAAAGATTTGTTTCTTAGATTATAGCAAGGAGATCTACTTATTTATCTTGAGAGCGATAAGAGAACATAAATAAGTAATCAATCAATCAATTACATCGACAATTAAAACAGAGTTTGATTAAATTATTACAATAAACCAACAATTGCATATAATCCATATCAAAATTCACTAACAATAAAAAAAGTATGAGCAAGCACAACAATCAAATGCATAAAAATCACAAAAAATTCACAAACTATAACAGATTAAAAGAATCCAAGGACGGGCATTGAAAAAGAATTAAAAAAATCTCAATTCATCTTTCTTCTGTAGAATGCAATTGGGTATATTAGGCTTCTACAGCACCTCGGTCAAGAGCTTTCTCCAATCTCACCTCGAATGGAGTTGAATGCCAATTCACTCTCTTGTCCTGCACATTTTATGACAAATACTTAGAACAAAACATTATCAATGTGATATTAATTGACAAATTCTCACTTCAAGAATACCTCTAGGTACTTGCTGGTTGTATTCGGTATGCCTTTGTAAGAAGAGACCGAGTCGGAATGGTTAGCTGATGTGTGCACAACCGGAAGCGAAGGAAGCGGTGAGAATGGTTGCACGGCCTGTTGACCTCCGACTAACCCATCATTTTGGGGCGGGTCAAGACCGAAAGCCGGGACCTGGGCCAGAGGCGGCGGGCGATTGATAATCTGAGCCAAGGGCAGAGGCCGGATCCTTTGAAGTCGAGAGCTTAGTGGCCTCGACTGGCTTACCGATGGGGGACTCTCGTGAGCTGGGGAGCCAGTGAGCTTCGAGAGAGAGAGAGATAGAGAGAGAGAGAGGGTTAGAAATGATATTTGGGGTTGAATATTTGGATTAAATTTTAATTTTATAATATTATTATTATTAATAAAAGGTGAATTAACCCCTGATTTATGAAAAGAAAAGTTTTAGGATTTGATATTTGAAATGTATACTTAAAATGCAGGCTTTTGAGTAATTTTCCCTTTATTTATTATGTCAAACTCTAACACCATTTTAAATTGTTTATTTGAAGGTTAATGATAAGGCCCAAACTTCTTAAATACCCAACTCTCTCAACCAAAAACGAAAGGGCCAAACTTAAAAAACAGAAAAAAGGGCCCTTCTTCAGTTCTTCCCGACTTCTCTCTCTGCAACCGCACCCGACCACAGGTGGTATTGAAGACTCCGAACGATCCAGCAAGGGCGGTCGCGCCTCGTCGCTGGGTGATGGGTCCGCCCCTGCATACTTTGATTGCTTCCGGCAATATTCGAGGTTATCTAACCTTGTCTCCTGTAATTTTAGTATACTTGAGACATGACGTGGACGAATAACGGATGCTCAACCTATTAATTGTGATATATTTTTGGAAATAAAGAACTTAAGAAAATTCAGCAAAGTTCTCTCTAAAATGAACTAATCCGACTGAAATAACAACATTGCCTGTCAACCACGAATATAAGATATCAATTTTAGATTGAAACGTGTCACAATTAGCCTCCTTGATGGTAGATCTGGCACATAAATGTCATCTATCATTGATGCACTTCACATTTTGTGTCCACTAGAGCTACAAAGAGGTGAAGCTGTGTCAATATAGTATGAATTTCAATAACAGTTTTAATTGCTCGATCTCGTATAATTCACAATTAATTACTGACGACACCAATTAAATTGAGTTAGGTGAAACAGAGGACCCCCCCACCCCCACCCCCACCCCCACCCCCACCCCAAATTTATCACACACTGCACCGATTAAATTGGGTACACGTGTGACAGATTGGTGAAATTAAATTGGAGGTCAATGATGTAATTAAGATTTTGTTGAACGGTTAGTGATTGCACATGAAACGTACCTTGACACTTCATAACGTAGTGAATTTGAAAATTATATACTCACGCATTATATCCATGCGATTTTAGACTCGTCTCTCGTATTCTGGATAAAAATTAGACAAGAACCTTAATATTCAAAGTAGGTGCACATTTTTCTTTTCAAAGACTTCAAAACGTCTTGTACAATTTGTTTCGCTACATATTCCCCATGCTATTTGAAGCCGAATATATACTTTTCCACTTAGCATTTTTCCTTTGTATTTGAAAATATTATAAAAGGATATTTAAAACTATTTTTCCATTATTTTCTAACTTCTTATTATGTTCATAATTTTTAATTAAAGGGTTGCTTCTCACAAGAATTATCAATGTCACAAAAACTTTTGCATTAATTTTTTTAAGAAATTAATTGAGACTAAACACGGGGTGTTTGTTCATTATAAGAAGAAGGAAAAAAAAAAGTGTGTAAAAGAGTTGCGTAATAAATTTTACCTACCATAGAATGAGTCTTTCACATTGTAATTGTCTGCTACTTTTTATGTCAACGTCAGTAAGAGTAATGTTATTTGTACGTTATTTTGTATAAATTGATATACTGATTGATGAATAAACAGGAAAATAAAAATAAGGAAAGAAAATGAAATCTATTAATATAATTAAGAATCTAAAGTGACATTTAACAACTGAAATTAATTTCGATGAAAGAGAAATCTCCAAGACAAGTAACTCAACTCGCATGATATAAAATGACCAAAGAGGAGGAGGAGAAATCCCAGCAAAATCTGTATATTATCATTTTACAGACATTGACGCCGTCTCACTTTTGAAGTAGCCAGCCAGAGAGAAAAATAATTAGTGGGGAGAAACAGAGAAAGAAAAGAAAGAAAGGGATTATGTGTTTTAACCAGCTCTTGATCTCTCTTCATTTTCGTATTCAATGCTTTGATTGCCTTCCGACATCCTCTTCCTTGCCGGTGGTCAGATCTACCAACCTCCTCTTCCATGCCTGCGGCCAGAATAGGATCTGTTGACACACTAAACGTGCAGCCCAAATTAAATGGCCAAAAGAGCGAAACTCAATTGAGAATCCAAGATGAAAGCTCAAGCAAAATGTATTATTGAAGAATGTAAAAGCCCACAAGCAAAGGAACGCCGTCGCCCAAGCTTGCAGAACGCCCAGAAGTTGAGCGAATAAAGTACCCTATGG